TTTCGCCAATCGTCCAGCTCCTTACCGAGATTTTGGCATCGTAATTCCTTCTCATTCGCAATGCCCGTCATTTCAGCGAGGCTGCAATGAGCCGTAAACAAATGAGGCTTGGTCGATCAGCGAACATCATTCATCGACGTAAACTTGGATGGTTTGTAAATGAAGGCGAACAGGAAAGAGGCAGAATGAAGATCAAATAATGATTAATGGTTTTTGTTAAAAATAAGTTAAAAAACAACTGCGTTACTATGATGCAATAACCCTGTCCCTAGTTCAAACTTTGGCCACCCGGAAGCGAACCGCAGCAAGATCTCCCAACCCCCAGTGATCATTCCTTTCCGATGTGATGAGTATAAAAGCATGTGATTTTGTTGTAATGTAGAGTGTGTTTCAGCGTATTAAAAAGTTCTCAAAAAATCTAAAAAATTATAAAACTCGCGCATTAAAAAAAAAAACCAGGCGATTTCTCTTTCTACTAACTCTACAAACTGATTACTAACTTTACGCCCTGGGCTGAGTTTTGGTGCTTTTTTTTTGGGGGGAGAAACACGAGAAAAAAACGAACCTTTTTGAAACTTTTCTAGTTTCCAATCGAGCGGCCCGCAGATCGCGTTCCAGCTCGTCCTTCTCATCCTCTAACTGCCTGCATCGCTCATCCAACGCCTAAACAATGCGTGGCAGCTGAATTTGAAATCTTGGACGAGTAAAATCCTCGAAAATTTCAACCTCCCAGTTTTTCGGTTTTCGAGCCAGTGATTTCCGCATCAAAACATCCAAATGGTCGTACGTAAGATCTCGGCACAATTGTATTCACGAATCACTTGGGAAAACTTGAATTTAGGAAACAAGGAACAGCATAATACAGCGTACCTTTAGTTTTTTATCTTTTTCGCGGGCCATCCGGAGCTCCTGTGAGCGTGGAGACGAAACGACATGTGCCAGTGGACTGAGACGCGTTACCACTCTTTCACTCAACGTTCTCAGATGCTCAGCTGCTCGACGGCTCGTCTAAAAAGTATTATATAAAATAAATAGCAACGCGCACCAGACTAGCCGGTGCGATCATGCGTTTTGTGCAATTCAGCCCA